CAAATAAAAAGAAAGCATCATCTTTGTTTCATTAGCTCAGTTTCAGTACTGGCTTGACCATATTATTTATGGATAGATGAGGGTTAAGTTTGGAAAGGAAGAGTATGATTTTTGGATAATATGTAGTGTAAATATCACAGCAGTAGAGGTTGGGTTCCAGGGAAACAAGATGATATTCCTATCTAATGTTTTCTTTCATCAGGAGAATATTTGATTGAAGAGGAGAAATGTTTTCCTTCTACTTTCCATAAGAATAGTGTATAGCAAAATTTTTCCATTGATTGTATTTTAGACCCCCCATTGGCTAACAGGCTCTGTATTCTCTTGCAGATGATACGAATAGTGGGTCACGTAGATGTCTGCTCAGCCACATCCTTTTTGTTGTTTCACATGCTCCCCTCGTGTTTACCTAGCTTTTATGGCTACATCCTCTCTGTCTCTTTGGCAGCAAGGCTTCCTGGGGCATGGACTATCTCAGTTCTCCATCTGCAGCTGTGGGGGGAGGCTGTGGGGGACTTGGAGTTCCTCTTGTGGCAACAGTAAAAATACACAAACCGGTCTTGCTCCTCTTCTTCACATCACATGGCTACATTTTCTTTTCAGCCACCTACTACTGGGACAGCTCAATGTCAGCAGTTGTTTCCTTGATAAGTGCTTTGTTTCAAGAGCTAAAAAACAATAGAATCTTCAGAGAGATTCAAGGACCAGAAGAGCTACCAGAACACATAATTTCAAGCAAACAGTAATGTGTCCCATAGTTTATCCAGGAACAAAGCTCTCATTAAAGCTGTTTTTGTTTGGTGTCCACAATGCTGCTTGGTTTGGCAGCTCCTTTGGGGTGATGCACTCTTCTGTTAGAGTACAAAAAGGCTGTTCAGCATCTGCCAGTTTCAGAGACTGGGACTGAGAGGATCTTCTGCTGAGGATTTACTTCTGGACTCTTTCCATATTGTGCTGCAAGGAGGTGAAATTCCCTGAATGCTGTAGACTGTCCCCTTGATTTGCAGGGAGCAATTTCTTGCAGTAAGTTACTAATCTGTGCAAATGATGCACCTTCTGCCTACATCTGCAGTGATGGAAGGTGATGGTGAATGTCATGTTTTATAAAGAAACTGGCTCAAGAGGGAGAGCAAGACCTGAAAGGGGTGGCAGGATGATAGTGAATAAAGGGCAGCAGCTAAGAAGTTTTGGTGGCTGTGCACAGAGTCCTCCCTCCGGTCACCAATAATTAAAGGGTCCCCAGACCACAAGAGCTAGGCTTGAAGGACTAGTAAGTGCAAGCACTTGCAGAACAGCTGCAGCAGTGATCACAATGCTGGGAGAAAGGTGGAGAGAAACATCTCCGAGGGTGGAAGAAGTCTGAACTCCATGTATTGTCATACTGGAGAAGTATAGGGGAGTTTGAGGAGAATTGGCCAATTTATGCACAGTAGGCCACTGTGAAGGTTAAGACAAAAGGTGAGAAGCCACCTATGTCCTGGCTGTAGCTAACTGGAGACACTATTATCTCTTGCTCTCCTCTAGCTTCCCAAGAACAAAATTTGGCAAGCCTTTGGCACTCACGGCTCTGAAGAAGGTGGAGTGGCTGACACTTGTAGGGATTGAATGACTTAGAAGAATCCTGGACTTTCTCTAGTCAGTGAAGTGACCTTCCAAATTAAGCACTAGGAGCTCTGGCCCTGGTTCTCCTGTGTGCCTCCCAAGCTCTGTCCTGCTCTGTGACCCTGTGTGCCCTACACAGTTGGTGGGAAGCTGAGCAATCCTCCTGCAGATTCAGTACACTTCTGCCTTGTTCCTGAGACTAGATCTTTGAGAAGCCCAAGCGGTTGCGGGTTGCTGGGCTTCAGGCTCACACTGCTGCATTTAATGAGTTGAGAAGCAAATCTCTGATAGAAGGAGTTTAAAGGGCGGAGATGCTTTGCAAAATATCAGTATAAAGTAGTGTAATGAAATTCCCTCCCAGTAACATCGGGTCAGGATGCTAGGCACTTTCAGCAGCTTGAAACCTGAATTTCTGTTCCATAGCAAAGTTTGATACTTTTTTTTTTTTTTTTCTGAATGAGAACCAAAACAAAAGAGCATTCAATGTTTTTAGGATTTTAAATTTTTTTTTTGTGGAAAAAGTTTGGGCCCATTACGGTAGAATTCTGTTCCAACTTGAACTTTTCATATTACCCTTCTATGAACCCAGTAGAAGATGTTATATTATAAAATAATGTATTGAAAAAAACCCCAAATCAACAAGGTGAAAAGTTGTGTCAAAATACAAAAGTGTTGCATTCACTCCATGTGAATGAAGTGTTTCTTTTCTGGTGTAAAAATGTTCACATTTTGCCCAAGTTGCAATTTCCCAGAGAAAGCTTTGATTTTGATGAAACGACATGGCAGCACTATTTTACTACACATCGACTTTCTTCTTGCTAATAAATTAGTCATAAAATTTGGGACTCATACCTTGTTACTGATAATTGTCACTGAAATGTTGTTAGGTTCTTTTCAGCCTTAAGGTAAACCTTATGTCCTACCCTAGAGTTATGTTTTACCAACAGAAGACTAGAAAAACGTGTTCTTGCCATCTAGACAGACAGTTTATTCAATTAATAAGAGTGTGTCATTTTTTTTTTGTCGAGCTTTTCAAACCACAGAAGATTTTAGGGCTTTCAGGCACACAGAACAGAATATAGACAAAACTATCCAGACAGAAATTATCCAGACAGTTTTGCCACTCTGTGTGGAGGAAATGGTACATTTCTTCAGCCATCTCTGGAGATACACCGTGCCCAGTTCTTAATACCTTGTCCATGTTTTCAGTTCTTTCAATTGGAAGTCAAATAAATGCTGACAGCTTAGCCCTGAACAAGCAACTACCATAAAAACTTGCAGATCCTGTATCTAATTATTCTGTAGCTAGTAAATAAAAAAAGCCAGAACCTTCATTGTTTGTAAGCATTTCTGTTAACAGCAGGTTAGCCTTCATGCTTTTGTGTATAATTTATGTTTTATCCCCTTCCTTGCAGTGCTTTGTTTCCACCTGCCACTAAGAGACAGTCCACTTCAGCAGTATAGTTCCAACAAAAATAGAATCTCAAGCAGGCTGATTTTATCAGATTTAGCAGATCAGTATCCCAAGTTCTTCAGTCAATACTCATTTCAAGCTTTTAGCTCAGAATATATTTTTCTTTCCTAGTGTTGAGTTAGTGTCTACTTAAACTAGCCAGAAGGCCAAAACTTGTACACAAACCTAACCTGTTTTAGAAGCCCTTCCAAATAAAACAACTGTTTTACGTGTTGAACTTGTCCAGCCAAGTTGGGAGGAAAAAAAACCAGTTTGTCAAAACAATTATATTTTCACATAGCCACAAGAACACTTATTCAGTTTGTATGATACTACATTGCCAAAGAAGCTCCAGCTCTCTCTGAGAAACAAACTGTGAAGGACCAGCAGAGCAGACTAGTGAGTAGACTAGTGTTTGTCAATGGGTGGATCCTGGTTTTATCCTCTTATTTTTACCATGCAGCCACATGATTTCTGAGAAGGGGAACAGGTTCTCTCTGTATCTCCCATGGCTGACGTGGACAGATGAATGAGTAGGTTTCCATGACTTGCCACCTCTTTCTGCCCTTCTCCCCCCTTTCTGCTTCATAACATTGGTTGTTTTCTCGTGGTTTTCACCTTGGTATAAATATTGCACTAAAGCGATGGAGCTGGCAGGTTCTGAGAGCAGATTCCCATCAGAAGTGTTAGGAAATAAGAGCATGTTTGGGGCCAGACCGCTGCAAACCTCTTGCAGGTATGATTTGTTTAGGCGGTAGAATATCATAGTGCCAACAGTGAATGATGCTTGGTGGAATAAGCAGAGCTAGGAAGTTAAGAGCACCAGTATCTGCCGTTTATACTTGTGGTCTCTCCCACACTCATCTTTTCTCATGGGGAAACAGGGAGGGAAGCTCCAGCCTTTTAATTGCACATGTGTGATTGGTGCCTGTGCTGTTTCACATCTGCACTGGAGCTTGTCCTGAGTAAACTGGGGAGTTTTCCTGCTCAGGTCACTGAGAGTACATGTATTGTATCAAAGGGCACGAGGGCAGGTACTGGCAGGCCCTTTCCTTCTCCAGTGAATCCATGCCAGCTCATTACTAGGGAGGTTTGTACCTGGATTGCATCCAGATCTTGTTTGGTTTCTTTCAACAAAGTAGGTTCTTCCTTCCCAAAAATAGATTTCAGATCAACTGGGCAGCAACAAAATGAGATGACCCTTTTGGTGTGTTTTGTGTTGGTGTCACATCTAACAAGCTGCCTTTTTTGCTTCTACAGATCCCTATTGGTAGAGAGATTGAAGGGATGAATATCCTGGGACTGGTGCTGTTCGCTCTGGTTTTAGGAGTGGCGCTGAAAAAGCTTGGCCAGGAAGGGGAAGATCTGATTCGCTTCTTTAATTCATTCAATGAGGCAACTATGGTCTTGGTTTCCTGGATTATGTGGTAAGTGTGTGACTGCAGATACATCGGCAGTACAATATTATGCTCAGTTCAGGAATCTCACCATTTATTCATCTCTCCAGCTTCTTCCTACCAGATCCCTCATCACAGCAAAATTGAATGTCATGGTGTCACACGATGGCATCTTTTCTTCTTATTTGTGCCCTGTAATTTGAGCCCTATAGCTTAAGGTATCAGTCTGGAACACATCAGAGGGTTGCTTAAAAATCCTCTCCAGGACTCCTTTTTGATTAATTAGTGGAAAGAAGGCTTTCTATTTCAGAGCAGCGTAAGCCCATGGCTAGCTGCCATAATGTGCCTAATGGCCTTGAATGAATAAAGGAGTTGTGAGCAAGTGAGGAACATGGTCATGTGAAGGCCAGGGATGTTTGTGCTTGCAGTGCACTTGCAAATGCAGCGCATAACTAAAATCATACTTGTAGCTTCATGCCTTGACTTTTCTGTTGGTCGAAAGGTTACTTTATACCGACCTGAAAGATATCCAAGGAGATCAGAAGATAACACAGTCACTGGTATTGGTTTGAGACAAACCCTGTTGAGTGCATGAATACAGGGCTCCATCTGCCCACTTGCATCAAAAGGTGATGGAGAACCTACGTCCCTTTGTATAGAAGGGAGGAACAGTCTCCAGGGCTATGCTCTCCATCCTACTGAAACAGCTGGCTATTGAGTGTTTTGTCATTATTATCAGCAGAGCCTGAGTTTCACAGTGGATCTTTAAATCTCTGTTCCTCTTCTAAGATATCTTTCATTTTCTTGGGTGAAGCAGGAACTGATGTTACTAGCAGAATGATCAACTGTTTGTTTCTTGTTTGTGCTTGCTTCTCCAGAGGTGGTGCTTTATTCCATTTCACATCCCTGAGAGTAGGTATTTCCTAAGGTTGATTGTTTATTTGGTGTCCTGCCTATTAATGAGCAAATCCATTATTTCACTTCTTGGAGTCCAGACATGTTTATGGGGTGAATGTTGCTCTGACCAATCTCACAAAGCTTTTGGCACTAAAAAAAGTCTGTATGTTAGGAACTGGAGCGTACTGAACTTTCTCACTAGGCAAGAAACCAGCATTGGAG